CTGCTCCTGCTCCTGGCCTTGGAAGAGGGGAAGCTAGAGAGGCTGATACTGGGAAGAACTGGAGATGATGAAACCCAGCAGTGTGACGGGGGTGACTCCAGCAGCCTCGATTAAGCAGGTCTTTGAAGCAAGATTCTGGGTCATCAGTGTCTTAAATGATGCTCCTGAGGCTCCAGCCCTTAGGAGATTGCAGGGAATATAAAGGACAGCTTTGCTCGGTCTTCCATGTTTTCAGCAGATAGCTGGAGACCCCCGTTGTTGAGAAGGAAGATCAGTGGATACAGAGATTGAGGAGTTAGGCATCACAGGAGAAAACCTTAAGTCGCAATCACTAATCAGGATGCCCCCTGGTCCGATCTTAAGCGTTTCTGTGGAAGTATGGATAACAGAATTATGGACCAGTAAACTCTGTGACTGCCAAATAAACTTACATGTGAGCAAGCCTGTTAAAATATCTGTCATTCTGCTCTTCCATATAACTAACTTCACTGTCACACAGATCAGTGCACACTGTTTGACAATGGATAAAAATCCTTTAAAACATAAATTACTCTTAGCAATTTGGGACGTTGAACTCGGTGTTACTATAGATGACTTATGAAAATCTCCGCTCGACTTTCTGCTGTGTTTCCTGACAGAAAGTAGTGTAATGTTCTCATTGACTGCAGTACTGAGAACATCATTTGTGGGGAAAAAATTACATGTGTCTTCAGAAAGCTAGAAAGATTTGCTAAGGAAGAGCAAGGAAAAGATTTCATGTTCTTTGTATCTTCATTTCTACAGTAAAGGGAGTTCAGGAACCAACAAGCAGGTGGTGCTTTGTGAAAAGAAAGTAAGAAAGTAAAAGAAGGGGAGAAATGTTTGCTAACATGATGTCTGATTACCTCTTTACATTTCTGCCAGTAGGAAATAATTTTAGCCAAGAAACCAATAAGATGTTATAAGAAAACCGCATTTAAATGCAGTTTTATTTTAAATGCGTTTAAACACATGGGTAAGATGTAAGAAAAATAACTAATGCAAATTTGTGTTTCTGTCTTTGAGGCAGCGGTAAGATACTGCACTAGATGGATCACAACTCTCAGCCAGTATGGCAATTTTTGTGTTTCTAACAGCCCCCAGACTAGGCAGTCGGTAATCTAGAGGAGTGATTCCCGATTGGTGAGCCATGCATTATTGGTGAGGTCTAAAGCTGAGCTTCAGTGAATAAAGTTTCCACATTGGTTAGTTTAGACCCTTGCTGAAGCTGCTGGAGCTGGAGATGGGAATGATGAATGAGTAAAGGACGTTGCTGGAGCTGGCAAGAGTTGTGATGAAAAGGAGTGATTCCCTGGTCCTTCCTGTCCTGCACGTGTCGGGTGCTTGTCATCCAGGCAGTGCATGGTGAGAACTGTGAGGAGGGAGGACAGCGGTTCAGCTCAGGGTGCGGTGGCGAGGC